AAAAAATTAAAAAAAATCTTTAATCATAGTCATAGAATAATATAAAAATTTATTTACCAGGTGCAAAATATGATTACAAAAATGTGATGTCATATTTCTTCCATGCTTCGCACATCAAGCAAACCTTGTGTTGGCGATATCTTTAAAATTTCATCCAAATATAAAAAAACATTAAAGAATGCCATCGGAATTGCATCATACTTCACTGATAAACAACATACTAAGGCAATATCATTACTTTGTGATGAGCAGCAGAGGATTTACAAAACTACATATAGCTTTGTGCTTTCTATAACCACCTGTTGGAATTTCTATTATTATTGTTTTGCAACGATTCTAAGAAGCCAACGTGCTCTGCAGTCATATTCGATCCTATATCCAACAGACAAATCTTCCACTACTATTAATAACCCTCAATTTTGGACATACTTTGACGAATTAGTAAAACACCTTCTACCCTTTGTTAGCATACTAGACTATCTTCAATGTGATGCAGCCAATCTTTTTGATATTGCCTATGCATTCGGATATGTAGTACAGCAATACGAAAATGATATTTATGGATTTGGTCACGAAATGCGAAAAAAACTTGAAAAAAGATGGGCAAATTGGGAGCAACCTCTTCTTTTATTGGCAATTATATTTCATCCACAATATCGTGTTCAAGCTTTGTTTGATAAACGTTTTTTTCTCTTAACCGAATAATACGCTGGATCGAATATTATTATAAAATGTGGTTTGATATAAAACCAAAGCATATCGCACTGAAACTAACTGAATACTATATGAAACGTGGTATATTTAGTAATAAGAGATTTAAAAACATCATTGACGCCATCTTAACAGAAAATGTAACAAAAGATGTAATTGGACTCGCATTATTGCGATATTGAGAATTTGCAACAATTGATCAAAAAGAGATTAGTAAAGTCACACAAAGGTTATACAGTATTAAAGTTAATTCTGCACCATGTGAGCGCCTGTTTTTCCGAATGGGATGGTTCCAAAATCTAAGACACAATCGTCTTAAAGTAAGAACAATATAATAAAGTTTGAAACTGGTTTATTTTTCATATATTAAAGCCCGGTTTTAAATAAACCAGTTCCAAACTCTGCAATGTATTTGAATTTTGTAAATTTATTTTAATAAAACTTATCTTGTTGTAGTTACAAACAATCTTTAGAATGACTCAAATCACGGCTGAGATGGCATAGGAAGAACACTTATATAATGCTAAAAAAATTTGCAAAACTGTTATCACAGATTGTATTACTAATTCAAATAATTGTGAAAACCAATTAGAATTAAGTTTTGAACAAAGAAATGAGATTAACAACCCAATTGCACTTGACCTTAATGAAAATATGCATATTCTGGTACTTGATGATGGTGAGATGCCTAACAAAAATGATTATGATACTAATAATTATGATAGCGATAATTATTCCAATAATGAAGATGAAGAAATAACAAATGACAAAGCTATTATCAGAGAATTGATTAAAGATGGTGATAATGAAAATGAGGATCTTGAAGAGTTAGCTACAACTTCTAATATGCAAAACTGTCATTCAGCTGAACACGAAGGTTCAAAGATTGAACTTAAATATCTTTTTATACATGCTTTATCATAATCTTTATTTGTTCGTATTCTTTAGCAAGATATTGAGAATAATTTTGTAGTTTCAAACAATTAGGACCAATTATGATATAAAATGTAATGCAACTGTTATTTGGTTGATAAATTTTATTATAATAAAAAAATTAGTTTTGCTATCAACATTTGCATTTAAAAGATTAACTATAAAATACCTTGGCATAATGTAATTAGAATAAATAATAACTTATTGAATTTTAATAGATTTAGTTAGCAATATAGTAAATCACCAAAATAAAAACCTCTACAATAGTAGACTTACCAAATATTATATGCACAGAATCTATATTGATCGAATCTGGTTTGTTTAAATATCTAAGCTTTCTTTACAAATGCAAAATATCTTATTGACTTAGACTCTTAGGCACATATTAGATAAATCTTAAATTGGTGAAATATAAAGGGCTCGCGAAGAGAATTGGACTTTTAGCTACAAATTATTGGTTGATCTGATTACACAAACCAATATGACCAATATGATCATGATCGAACTGGTCATATTGGTCATATTGGTCTGTGTAAGGTTAATCAGGTTACACAAACCAATATGACCGATTTGACTAATATGACTATGGTCAAACTAGTCATATTGGTTATATTAGTCTGTGTAAGATTGATCAGATTACACAGACCAATATGACCGATTTGACCAATATGATCATGGTCAAACTGGTCATATTGGTCATATTAGTCTGTGTAACTAGATTATTTGTCCAATTTGACCAGTATCACAAGATCAGACCAAACCAGTCAATGGTCAAATTGGTCTGGTCAAACCTACTCTGAATATAAGTAATGATTATAGATGTGACAAATAAATTATATTACACAAGAAATATATGAAATTTTTAGAAGACTATATATAGTAGTTAATATTTATATTTTTATATTACACCCCCTATTATATATAAAAAACTAACTCTAACCTACTAGTTTATGTTTGTTATCTACCTATATTATAGATTAACTCAGATCCTTTTCCTCCAGTTCCGCAGTCAGATTGGTAGAGTGTTTCCCCAAACACTTATCATTCGGTATCTCAAACTCCCAATCCAGTTGCCCGAAAGAGACTTTTGCCTGCAGGTTTACTAGTCTCCTGATATTCTGCGATCAAGCAGATCCTTTTCTTCTGACTCCAGCAGCCTGGTTGGTGAAGTGCTTTGCTATACACTTCGGTCTAGTTCAGTATTTACTGGTTCCTTCAATAATAGTCCTTTACATAGTACCATCAAAGATTTGTACTATCTCTCTACTCAGGTCTTGCCAAGTGAGTATCCATCTTTTTGGTTCTTCAGATTAATGCAATCATTAAACTTTCTTTATATAACTCATATATAACACAAATACCCCATAATCTCCTAATCAAGTTGGTGCCACCAAGGTTATAGAGATCTTGTTCTAACTAATTAATAAAAAACAGTAGCTGTTGTACAAGTAGAATTTTTGAAATTCATCGCCAGTAGGTTTTAAATAGAGTTGGAGGCACAAAAAATTTTTTGGTTATGCCCTAAAAAGCATGCCTTAGCCTGAAGCATGTCTTTCATAGTATACTTGGGACATGCTTCTATATATAAATTATGTGATATATATAATTGTTCGAAGCATAGCCAGGTTCGGTCCAAAGTTTGAAAAATAGTTTAAGATCAATTGTAATTATATATATTTTTTGGTGCTGAACAATTTTACTTAGTGCATTAAATAAGAATTAATTAATAAAATTTTGAGAAATTTCAGATTTTATAGAATTTTATTAATAAAATTTTACAAACTCTTAAAATTCTTAAAATTTTATTAATTATTTTTTAAATTTTATTAATTAATTCTAACTTAATATACTAACAAAATTTATTTAACACTCAAAAATACATTAAATCAGTAGAGTTGTTTTTATTTTACTTGAAAGTTTGAGAAAAGATGCTTAATTTTTAATTTTTTGATCAAAATATCAAATTAAGTATATTTTCTCAAACTTTTAAGTAAAATAAAAACAACTCTATCAGTCAAATATAGTTTTATATATTAAACAAATTTTATTAGTGCATTAAGTTAAATTAATTAATAAAATCTTGAGAATTTTAAGAGTTTGTAAAATTTTATTAATAAAATTCTATAAAATCTTAAATTTTTCAAAATTTTATTAATTAATTTTAACTTTATATACTAATAAAATTTGTTTAGCATCCAAAAATACATTAAATAGTGGAGTTGATTTATGTTTTGAACTTACATCAGTTTCTGATTCCTAGTTTTTCTTAACATTTGTTAATAGTTAATCAGTGTATTATATTATCACGTGATTTAATATTGATTATCACATGATAAAAGCATGTTTTTTGGTCTAAGGGCATGCCTCTAAGCATGCACAGGAGCATGCCCAAAAGGCATACCTTGTGCCTCCAACCCTAGTTTCATACTCCCTACTTGGCAAACAAATCGCTTAGAGATGTGACAACTTACCAACTTCACTAAATCACCACATCCTTTCTTAAAATTTTATTAAACTAATCAATTTTCTATATTAAATAAAAAATGTTTTCTAATAAAAACATCACTAGTTGTATAAATCCAAATTAGCAATTATCTTAATAAAATTTTGAGAAAATAGCTTTTAGAATTATAACTCTTTAAATTTTAATTATTTATAAATATCTTTGATTTTCATAAAATTTTATTAAGCTAATCAATTTTGTATATTAAATAAAAAATGTTCTTCTAATTAAAATAGACCTAGTTTCATAAAACCAAATTAGCAATTGTATTAATAAAATTTTGAGAAAATAGTATCTAAAACTATAACTCTTCAAATTTTAGCTATTTATAAATATTTTCAAATCAAATCAAATATTTGATCTTTTAATTT